CCCACCCCCCCCCCCAACCTCCACCCTGCTGCAGGCCCCTTTTGCAATGGCCACAAAAGGAAGCTGCTTGCTGCCTGTTAAGAAAGAGGAGGAAGAGAAGGGGGAGGAGGAGGAGACGCCAAAGGGAAAGAGAGAAAAACAGCCGGAAAAAAACAGCTTCTATGTTATTTCCATTTCAAAAAAAAAAAACTATTTTCCCAAGAGAAAAGACCTCATCCATGTTCACTAGCATAGCCTATTTTTACCAAATGCCTGAGACATATTTCCCATGAGGAGTGAAAAATCTGTAGAACATATCTAGAAATACTGTCTTCCTTCAGCTTCCTCAGGGAACTAGTCCCCAGAGTCCCTGGAAACCCAGAATGTTAAATGTTCTGTTTCTTAGGCTGAGGAAATGGTGCTAACATGAAATGTTTTTTTCTATCTTATTATTCTACTCTACTCTACTTTAGGAGTGGGGTCTTAGCAGCAGCATTTGGGAGAGTGGCCCCTGCACCTCGCCTGGGCAATACAGTGGAGCTGGCCCTGACGGTGTATGCGTGGGAAAACAGACCCTGAGGTCTCTGAAAGCTGGAGACCTGTTCCTGTCCCTTGCTCATCCCTGCAAAGGGTGAACTAGTCAGGGCAATGCACAAGAGCCCCCCCTGGTGGTGAGGACAAGGGAGAGCCGGCGGGCCCAGAACCAGGGTTATGTGTTGGCCACCCCAACATCCAGCCCATCTATGATCTACTGGAGCATTTGAAGGGGCGGATCCTACAGAACCAAAGCTGAAGGATGTCCATGGCACAGGGCAACAACAGAATATTCAAGAGGAGTCCCGGTGAGGGCCCAGCACCGACAGTGTAGCAGAAGCCAGAGGCCTGGAACAGACACTGACTCTTTGCAGTGAACACTTGCAGGTAAAGATGTATGGATAAGAGGGTTTACTGCGTGACTCACTGTGTCACACTACGGCTTCCAGGACGAGATTAATGTTTCCTTTTCTTTTTTTTTTCTCTTAAATTTTATTTTATTTTATTGGGGGTTGGGAGATGTTGCAAGGGCAGAGGGTAGATACAAAGGGACGGAGAAATGAGTGGAATGGAGATGCATGATGTGAAAGACACAAAGAATAAATAAAAAAGGAATTTTTAAAAAGAAGTGGGGTCTTACCGCCACCCCATGTTGGGAACTCAAGGGTACGGGTGCATCCCACACTCACTGACTCGGTCAACTTGAACTTTAATCCTTCCCCAATATTTCTGAAAACCTAGCAATGTCAGAGCCACTGATCTGCTGCTATTCTGTGTTGCTCAGGGCACAACTTCAAGTCCAACATTTGAACACATAGGGGAACATTTGCAAGACACTCGGCCCAGGGACCTGCTCTGAAACCTACCACTCACACCTTAATTTTAAGAAAACTATGAAATGTGACCCAATGTTCTCAGGGGTGGAAAGAGCAATGCCCAGGCTGAGCAACCAATTAGAACTCCTGAGACTGTGGAGGGCTAGGGTGTCACAGAACAGAGGGGTTTTAGGCTCTTCTACAGCCATTTACTGCACACCTCTGTTTCTGAACTAACACACATAGCATCCTTATGGCCATGAGGTAAAATCCTTCAGAATACACAAACAGACCCCTATCTTCCCCAGCCCCAAGTTGAGGATACCCACAGGTAACACCTAACGCCTACGGCGAGGTGCCCTGTTTAGCTATAACTTGTCTATCTGATGTGTCCACAAAATTATTTGGAAGTGTCACGATTTATGGTTTTCTTTAGAACGTGGAATTTGGGGAAACATGAATCTGTGTTCTGGATTCATGGTCACTCATATTTGGCTCCAGTATAAACTTGTGTTTATGCATTGGCAAAAAATGATTATTTTGAACACAGTAAATGTTATCAACACACACACACTGAATATCCATCACACACACACACACACTCATATATACACATACAAATACAAACACACAAATATATATACACATAGAAACACATACACAAAACACATTTTAGTATGAGTTCAAATGATTTGTTTGAACATTTCAGAGTTTAAAGATCACCATTTTGATATTATAATTAATATATTTGTGATGTTTAAAACTCCTTGTAGCATCTATAAAATGTCACAGTTTGAGGGGAAGACCTGGAGATGAGGCATCCAGAGACACAGCTGAATTATCTGTGTCTGAATGGAGAAAAAGAAAACGGAGCCCCTAATACCCCCAGAGAACACAGCCACACCCAGCTTGCCAGCAAGCAGCCAGGGCAGCTGGTGGACCCACTCCCTGGCCTCTGGAGTCTCAGTACACATGCATGTGTGTGTTGAAGCCAAAGGAAAACCTTGAATGTTGTACCTCCAGTGCTGCCATCCTGTTTTTGAGGCAGGGTTTCTCACTGACCTGGAACTCATGCCTAGGCTTCCAGGCCAGCAAGCAGGCCAGAGAGACAAGATTCCCTATCCCTGCCTCCCTGGGGCTAAGATTATCAATGTATACCACAGAACCCAAAGTTTTCACTTGAATTCTGGGGAATGAACTTGGGTCCTCTTGCTTGCAAGGCAGGCACTTTATGAGTTAAGCAATCTCCTCAGCCCTCCAAATACCTTTAAAATGGGCTCGTCAGTGTAAGCAGAAGCAGACTGGGAGCTGGATTGCCGTATGTGGTTATATATTATTTATGATCTAATAAAGCTTGCCTGAACAGCAGGATGCAATGCTAGCCACGGCCATAGAGGCCAGGCAGTGGTGATACACACCTTTAATCCCAGCATCCACACTAGTTAGCCATAGAAGCTGGGCAGTGGTAGTGCAGGCCTTTAATCCCAGGACTCAGGAGACAGAGGCAGATGGATCTGTGAGTTCAAGGCTACCCAGGCCTACTCAAGAGTGAATCAGCCTAAAAAAGGAAAACAGAGCTCACACAAACAGATCTCAGCACTTAGGATCCCACGCCTGTAATCCAAGCACTAGAGGGGTATATAAGACCTCAGAATCTCATGAAGGATTCAGTCTTCAGGAATAAGTCTCTAGCCAAAGGACAGTCCTTTCAGCCTAAGGTAGAGGTATGAGCTAGTGGCTGGCTGCTTTGCTTCTCCAATCTTCAGCTTGAAGCTTGAATCCCAATATCTGCCTCTGGGTTTTTATTATTCATGTTACAGCCATAAATTTGAGGTCATTCTAGTCTGTATAGCTAGTTCCAGGAGAGCCAGTGCTACATAGCAAGACCCTGCTTGTCTCAAACAACAAACAACAAATGCACGCACACACGCACGCATGTGCGCGCACACACACACACACACACACACACACACACACACACATTCTCTGTTTGGGTTTAGAACTAGGTCACTTTTTACTGACAGACGAAGTAAGGAGCTCACCACATATGCATATGATGTGCTTTGCTCATAGCCCCTCCATTACTCTTTCTTTATCTCTTCCCTTTTCTCCTTCTGCAACCCCTGCCATCCCCTTTCACACTCATGACCACAACTGTAGTGATATTATTTTAAACTTAATCTTTTATGTAACAGTTTATTAAACATCATTAATTTTTTATTTGTTTGCAGTGCTGGGGACAGAATCCTTAGCCTTGGCATGCTAGGCAAGCGCCCTACCACTGAACTACACTCTATGCTCCCTGGCTCAAACCCCATTCATCTGCCTATAGGTCTTATTTTTAGCCATCTTGTTACATTAGCTTATTAGTTCTAGTAAATCATTTGACTCTCATACATAAAAATGCGTTATTTATGAGTTGTAGCATGTATTCCCTCCTAATACTTAGAGAGTTGTTTTTCTTGCCTTATTGAAGTGGTCACCATCACATTACATCCTCCTTTGTGTGCCTGTCTGAGCCCTTATGTTCCTTCTAAGCGGTAGCCTCCATTCAGTACATGACAGGATTGTCTAGTTTCTGAGCAAGGTCCCACGTGAAGGCCCAGGCTGTGAGCTTCATTACATGAGCCCTCAGGAATGACTTGTCATTTGTCTCGGGGTGCTACAAAACCCCATGACCAAAAAGCAAGTTGGGAAGGAAAGGGTTTATTTGGCTTACACTTCCAGATCACCGTCCATCATTGGAAGAAGTCCAGACAGGGCAGGAACCTGGAGGCTGGAGTTGATGTAGAGGTCAGGGAGGGGTGCTGCTTACTGGCTTGTTCCCCATTGCTTGCTCAGGGATGGCACCACCCACCATGGGCTGGACCTTCCCTACTGATCACTAATTGAGAAAAAGTCTTATAGCTGGATCTCATGGAGGCATTTCCTCAACTGAAACTCCTACCCATCTCATGGCTCTAGCTTGTGTCAAGTTGACACAAAACCAGCCAGTACATCATTCTTGTCCAGTATGCAGAGGAGACTTGTTAAATCAGTCTTCCTGGAGTGTCTTGTGACAAAACTCAACAACGGCAATACTCTAGGTAAAGCTTCCTCTAGAGCACAGGCTTCTGAGACACCAAGTGACAGAGGAGCAGTGATTGCCCACACATCCTCCCCTCCAACAAGGGAGCCCAGCTACCACCTCTTCCTTCCCACACCAGTCCTCCAATGCTGTCCATCCACATTCAGTGAAGGGCTGAAGTCTAATTGGCTCTGAATCTGGAGCCCAGGGCAGACTAAGTGGGTTGGGAGTGGGTGCAGGAAATTATATAAGGAAAACAGAAGACAGGAGACTAAGTTTGTGCTGTGCACACTGTTTATTTAGGGGTCCAGGATCAGGACTTGACCCAGGGGAAGCTAGAAGGATCAAGACTAGTCAGTCTGGGTGAAGGGACAGCTGTCAGACTGACTTACAAAGAGGGACAGACAGGGAAGAAAACCTACCAGAGGGGAAGAGAACAGGGAGCCAGGAGTGGGGTCCAGTTGGTAGGTGGCATCTTGGATTCCTCTTCCTGTTTCAGGCATCTTTGGTGATGTGGTTTGAAAAGTACTGAGCCCCAGGACAGAGCAACCAGACAGCCAGTATATCTGCATCAGCTCTGCCACCTGAGGTCCATGGCCAGAGTCTCAGATCTTGCACTGGCAGCACACAGGGACACAGCAGCTAGACTGGCAGCAGCAGGGTTTGCAGCAGCTGGACTCACAGCAGCAACAGGGCTTGCAGCAGCTGGACTGACAGCAGCAGGGCTTGCAGCAGCTGGACTCACAGCAGCAACAGGGCTTGCAGCAGCTGGACTGACAGCAGCAGGGCTTGCAGCAGCTGGACTCACAGCAGCAACAGGGCTTGCAGCAGCTGGACTGACAGCAGCAGGGCTTGCAGCAGCTGGACTCACAGCAGCAACAGGGCTTGCAGCAGCTTGACTGACAGCAGCAGGGCTTGCAGCAGCTGGACTCACAGCAGCAACAGGGCTTGCAGCAGCTGGATTGACAGCAGCAGGGCTTGCAGCAGCTGGACTGACAGCAGCAGGGCTTGCAGCAGCTGGACTGACAGCAGCAGGGCTTGCAACAACTGGACTGACAGCAGCAGGGCTTGCAACAACTGGACTGACAGCAGCAGGGCTTGCAGCAGCTGGACTGGCAACCCCCACAGGAGCCACAGCCTCCCTTGCAGCCCCCGCAGGAGCCACAGCCACCCTTGCAGCCCCCACAGGAGCCACAGCCACCCTTGCAGCCCCCGCAGGAGCCACAGCCTCCCTTGCAGCCCCCACAGGAGCCACAGCCACCCTTGCAGCCCCCGCAGGAGCCACAGCCTCCCTTGCAGCCCCCACAGCTGGAGCAGGAACAGGCAGGCACACAGCAGCACACAGGCTTGCAGCAGCACACAGGCTTGCAGCAGCTGGAGCAGCAGCCCCCACAGCTGGAGCCACAGCCTCCAGAACAGCCACAGCAGCTCATGGTTCTGGTGTTGGGTTGAGGATGGAGTAGGTCAGAGGAGGAGATAGAAGGGAAGTGTGCAGGTGTGGAGTCCCCTGAACCTGGGGCCTTTATATCCCTGCCCAGGGTCAGGTGTAAACCTGTACATGGTCACTTCCTGGTTCCTGTCTGTGTCATAGTCTAGGTATTATCTATTATTTATGCTTTCCTTGTGCCTTTCTCAAACAGACTACCATGTCTTCCAAGGAATGTTGCTCCTCAGTAAACACTAACAAGTGTCCAGTAGCTGACTCCTTTCTTTGGAGACTATAAGGAAGCACAGAGGTAGGAATGAATGACTCAGGTAACTTGGACTTGCTAGTTTATTTGAGCATGGCTTCTGTACTGTTCTTCCCAAGACCACTTTTTATTTATTTTTCTACAATTTTTTATTTATATTACAAACAATTTTGTTTACCTGTCAATCCCAGTTCCCTCTTCCTCCCCTCCTCCCTTGTCTCCCCCAAAGTCCCCTATCTCATCTCCTTTCTGCTCCTCAGGAAGGGTGAGGCTTTCCATGGGGGAATCTTCAAAGTCTGTCACATCATTTGGAGCAAGGCCTAGGCCCTCTCCTGTGTATCTAGGCTGAGAGAGTATCCCTTTATGTGGAATGGGCCCCCAAAGTCCATTTGTACAATAGGGATAAATATTGAGCCACTACCAAAGGCCCCATAGACTGCCCAGTCCTCCTAACTGACACCCGTGTTCAGGTGGTCTGGGTTTGCCCTATGCTGGTTTCCCAGCTATCAGTCCGGGGTCCATGACTTCCCCTTGTTCAGGTCAGCTGTTTCTGTGGGTTTCTCCAACCTGGTCTTGACCTCTTTGTTCATCACTCCTCCCTCTCTGCAACTGGATTCCAGGAGTTTGGCTCAGTGTTTAGCTGTGTTGTCTGCTTCTGTTTCCATCAGCTACTAGATGAAGGCTCTAGGATGGCATATAAGGTAGTCATCAATCTCATTATAGGGAAGGGCATTTAAGGTAGCCTCTCCACTATTCCTTAGATTGCTAGTTGGGGTCATCCTTGTGGATCTCTGGACATTTCCCTATGCTGGATTTCTCCAAGACCACTTTTTAGAATTTTCTGTAAAGACAGGGTTTCTCTATGTAGGGAGCTCAGGCTGGCCGTGAACCCATTATGTATCCCAGGCTGATCTGGAACTTGCAGCTATCCTTCCTGCCTCAGCCCCTCTATTGCTGGAATTGCAGGTATTCTCCAACATGCCTGGCCCAATATTGCCTTCTAAAGCTGTTTCTTGCTGAAGCAGAACTAGGACACTGTGGTCATGCCCTTTAGAAGTCCTTCCTGGGGACTGATTCTTCAGGCCTGGAGTCTGGGCTCAATTCTAATGACTGCTGGGCTTAAGACATCGTGGGGAGCTTTGCATGTAGACTGAAACACTGTCATAAGACTTGATCCCAGAGCTCAGTTCCACTTCACATAGTGAGTATTTCTGTCTCTAAAGGACACATTCTAGGCCTTTCGGACTATTGCCCAGGGGTAGACAGGTGTAGGTAATATACCAGCTGTCCAGAGACACGTAAATGCAATTTTGTGTAATTATGTCTCGAATCCAGCCTGGGTTTGAGCAGTGGAAGATGCTCTGTGTTGTTCCCCGATAAGCCACACTGTGTCGCTGTGAGAGGCTTGCTATCCTGTAGCCTCTCCAGAGGTTCCTCTTGCTGCCTTTCAGAGTCCACTTCTTCTTACTCTCTATTGTGTTTCAGAAGTAGCAGCTGTGTGTGGATGCAGGTGCAAAGGTGCCAAAGGAAGCCTTGTCCAGCACGAAGGGCACCTCAGAGCACCCAGCCCATCCAGGATGGGACCCAGCTGGAAGCTGGAAAATATCTTCTCTGAAGGCCGGGTCTCAAAAAGGTGCAGGGTCCCAATCTCTGGAGCCCCCTTATATCTTCTACTCACAACCAAGTACTGAATTAACTGACCAAATTCTGTCAGAGCTCCTCTCACTACGCTTGGCCAGGCGCTCTCTGAGGATGGGGGGGGGGCCTTACTCCCACGGGACCTTGTTCTTTGGACTCCATTTATTGTCTTTAGGATTTATGTCTAAGTGGAAGAGGGAAATTATAAGCCATCCCCACTAGACCGTCAACATGGCACAACACACCAGGAATCTCCTGTTTTGAAAGTTGCCATCCCTAAATGGGTGTTGAGCCTTGTTCTTCAGTGTTTACGTGATACAGGCATGCTTCTAAGTGTGCATTATTTATTGTGAATATACAAATTTTATCTTTTTATGCTTCACGTACTACTGTATTTTAGCAGCTCGCTTTCCTTGGGGTACGTGGGCATCAGAAAGGAGTTTAAAGCTCTAAAGGCAACAAACTAAATCTGGGCATGGTGGTGCACACCTTTAGCAGGAGAGCTGTCACAAATTCCAAGCTTGGCTAGAGAGCAAGCCCTTACTGAAAACGGAACAAAACCTGTAAAGATTAAACACACAGCTATGTCTGCTTCAAAAACAACTTTATAGAACCAGAAACAACTTGTGTTAGTGAGCTTGAACACTTGGAGGAATGGCCCCATTTCCTGGAAAGTGAAACTGTTTAATTATAGGAAATAATTTTGAAAAGTTGGACAAACCAATAAAACCTTAGAAGACACTGAAATCATTCTCAGATCTTTGGCCTCATAAAATCCCAGAGAAGGTTTACACCTGAGTTCTCATAGATGTTTCTATGAATGGAAAAATAACCCAAAAGGGAAAGATGGAGACTCTGAAAGCAAGAAAGTGATGTCAGATAAAAGACAGAGACCCACAGTATCACCACCAGAGTACACAACTTCTAAATCAAATATTTAAAAATTCAATATGGCTATTTTGTGCAATAAGGCACAGCCAAAGAGAGTCTATACAAGAATAGAGGAAGGATTCACTGTCAGAAAACATCACTGTGGGCTGGAGAGAAGGCTCAGCCATTGAAGGCTAGGCTCACAACCAAAACTACAAGAAAAATCATGGTAAGGCAGATGTGGCTGCCGTGACCATAATCCCAGCGGGCAAGAGGGTGCAGGCAAGTTTGAGGATAGCCTGGGCTATACAATGAGGCTGTGTCTCAAAATGGGGAAGGAATGGAAGGGAGGCAGAGAGGGAGGAGAGGGGAGAGGAGGGAAGGGAAAGGAGACTAAGGAGATGGCTCAGTTGGGAAAATGTCTGCCTTGTAAACGTTAGGACCTGACTTTTAGTCCCACAACCTGATTAAAAGTGCTGGCAATTGCTGGGAATGGTGACACAAGCCTTGAACCCTGGCGCTCAAGGTCTGAGTAGGCAGATCTCTGTGAGTTGGAGGCCAGCCTGATCTACATACAGTAAGTTCTGGGACAGCCTGGAATACAGAGTAACACCTCATTTAAAAAACAAAACATCCAAGGCTGGTAGTGCATGCTTGTAATCCCAATGCTGGGTAGGTAGAATTTATAGTGGAAGAAAATTCTTAACAAATCTTCATAGCCCACAGTTTTGTAACTTCTATCTTACACCACAAGCTGCATGGTTTTATACAAACTGTACTTCAGTCAACTGTTAGACATGCTTCTTGTTTATCTAAAATGCTTGCTCTATAGGATTAGATGTCTCTTCTAAATCCTGTGATGAGATTTTCTCCCTCAGCCTTAGTTTCCATTTGGAAGCAGCAAAGCCAAACTATTCCACTGAATTTCCAATCAAATGAAATTGACATTTCAATTAGCTGGTATTTTATTTAGATTTGATGGAGGTAAATCTCTATACAACTACTTTGGCCTTTTTATTTCAAATGTTACAGCTAACTATTAAATTCCTGCACTTAGCTACCCACTTTCAAAGAAAGAGAGAAAAAAGAGGCAATATTTCACTATAAATTAATATAGTTCAAAATCTGACCCTAAAATTCTCACAAATTCTCTTTCTCTCTCTCTGTATCTCTGTTTCTCTCTCTTTAAGATAGGCATGCCAAAAATTAATTTTATTATGGAATGAGTTAAGGAAAAGACACACAAAACTGATTTAATGCGGTCAGAGGTTTACTGCTGGGTTATGCTGGGGATTCTGGGGACAGATTTTGCCCCAGTTTGTCATCTGAATGCTCCCCAGGGAGCATGGGGCTGGCAAAAGCTTGATAGTTGCACAGTTCACAAACAACAGCAGACATCTCCCCAACACCCTTGCTTCTGTTTCACCCTAATGGCTCAACTGATACCCACAGACCAAGAGGTTTCAACCTTCCCTGTTATATGGCATTACCACCCCTCTCCCCACCCCCAAAAGCCAACAAGCCGGAATCGGAAAGACAAAGCCAGTCACCAAATGGCAGTGGCCAAATGGTTGGGAAAGAGTCTCAACAGCTCAGTAGAGCCCCCTACCCACAGGAGTGCAAGGCCCAATGTGTACCAACTAGGGAGAAATTTACTGAGGGTCAAATTTTCTCAGAATCCAAAACAAAACCCAATACACATTTTTGAGACTGAGACACCTTGTAACGCCTAGACAGTAAGGGTGAGATCTATGATGGACTATGATGATCATCCAGCTATAAGACTAAAATCTGACAGTTCATTCAAAGGTGCCTTGAGCCAGCCTAGGTCCAAATACAGAGGAACAGAAAAACATTGGACCACTGTTAGTCATTCTCCCTCGCAAACCCCCACACTCACACACAAACAAACTAGGAGTTTAGAGTACAAGTTTACTAACAGTCAAGCTTGTCCAGCAAGGCCATGTACCTGATACATTTTAAACAGGATATAAAATGAAGAGATGAATCCATACACATTTTGTTGTTGTTGAGAAGCAGCAGAAAGATAAGACCAGATGGTGGCTGAGAGTATACCCTCCTAATTACTCAGCTGGAAAGGAAGGGGCGGGGGCTTTTTTGCCATGCATGCGGGTTGTAGGATATGTTCTCTTCACTCATCCAGTGTACCAACCATTCTGGAGCGAGGTGGGCCTTGCTAAGTTGTAAGATCAGCCATCTCACTTTTGCTGCTCTGAGCCTCCAATGCTCTTATTATGAAGCGAGGATCTCTGTTACTCACACTAGCTTCCTGGTTAAGCTCGCCCAGAGCCTGGAAAGCCTGTTGCTCTCAAAAGCCCACATCAACTTCTCTGCTTTACTCACAGAGGTGGAAACAACTGATGCTCGCTGAAGTGGGAAGATGAGAAAAGTGTCTTAGATAAAGTAACTCTGCCCCTGTGTGAGACCTCTCAACGTCCCTCCTCCCATCATGACTCTTACTGTAAGAACCAACAGTAAGAACTTCTTACTGAAGTTATTAGGGTCAGGAGCACAGGCCCTGGCAGCCCTAACAAGTTAGGCTCAACCACCCACCTCCCATTAAACAGACAAATAATAACAAAAACCAGAGAAAGGAGATTTACTCAAGGTGGCCACACCGGAAAGAAGAACAAAGAGGACTGGGTCAGTCTTTGTGGTCCTGACATGATGCTCAGATTGAAAGAAAGCAAGAGGTATACATAGCTGAGCAGTACCCGTCAAGATGTGATCCTGCCCAATACTGTCCCTTCATTGTTTTGGCTCTTCCAAGGTGGTATCTTCCCCCTTATCCTCTCCTTCCCTGTAACTGTCCACCGGTCCATACAAGTCATTGTAAAAAGGCACAAGAACCTAAAACTCAGCATCTGCCATCCAGATGTATATCTGTGTCTATGGTAACGGGATCTCGCTGTGAAGTCCTGGCTGGCCTGTAACTCCACATATAGACCAGGCTATCTTACAACTCACAGAGATCTACTTGCCACTGTCTTCCAGACACTGGGATCAAAGGTGTCCATCACCACACCTGGCAAAAGTTGGTTTTGAAACACTACACTTAAACACCAGATGACATTTTCCAAGAAAATAAGGCCATTTTGGGGAGATAGAATGGGGGAATTCAGCCAAAGCAGCCTTGTGTAAAGAAGAAGAGGCAGGTGACCTGGAGAGTCACAGGGTTTAGGTTCAATGAGGAAACTAACATGGTGACAGACCAGAGAAAGTGAATGTTGAGGTGGGCAAGTGGCAACCTGAAATCCAGGAAGAGGCAAACACCGAGGAAGTGCAGCAGTCATGGGATGGAAGCAAGACTCACTGCTGTGTCTTTTTACAGCTCAAAGGAGGGGCTTGAGCACATCCGGGACACTTGTTAATGTTGATTGGGAAGCATCAGGAAACCAGAGGTAATAGATAACACCATGCAGAAGAGAGTGCTAGACTATGACACGGACAGGAACCAGGAAGTGCCATGTGCCACCTCACACTTGACCCTGGGCAGGGATATAAAGGCCCTAGGCTCAAGGGACTCCATACCTGCACACTTCCCTCTCCACCTGCTCCTCTGACCTACTCCATCCTCAACCCAACACCAGAACCATGAGCTGCTGTGGCTGTTCTGGAGGCTGTGGCTCCAGCTGTGGGGGCTGCTGCTCCAGCTGCTGCAAGCCTGTGTGCTGCTGCAAGCCTGTGTGCTGCTGTGTGCCTGCCTGTTCCTGCTCCAGCTGTGGGGGCTGCAAGCCCTGCTGCTGTCAGTCCAGCTGCTGCAAGCCTTGCTGCTCTTCAGGCTGTGGGTCATCTTGCTGTCAGTCCAGCTGCTGCAAGCCCTGCTGCTGTCAGTCCAGCTGCTGCAAACCCTGCTGCTGTCAGTCCAGCTGCTGCAAACCCTGCTGCTGTCAGTCCAGCTGTTGCAAGCCCTGCTGCTGTGAGTCCAGCTGCTGCAAGCCCTGTTGCTGTCAGTCCAGCTGCTGCAAGCCTTGCTGCTCTTCAGGCTGTGGGTCATCTTGCTGTCAGTCCAGCTGTTGCAAGCCCTGCTGCTGTCAGTCCAGCTGCTGCAAACCCTGCTGCTGTCAGTCCAGCTGTTGCAAGCCCTGCTGCTGTCAGTCCAGCTGCTGCAAGCCCTGCTGCTGTCAGTCCAGCTGCTGCAAGCCCTGCTGCTGTCAGTCCAGCTGCTGCAAGCCCTGCTGCTGTGAGTCCAGCTGCTGCAAGCCCTGCTGCTGTCAGTCCAGCTGCTGCAAGCCCTGCTGCTGTCAGTCCAGCTGCTGCAAGCCCTGCTGCTGTCAGTCCAGCTGCTGCAAGCCCTGCTGCTGTCAGTCCAGCTGTTGCAAGCCCTGCTGCTCTTCAGGCTGTGGGTCTTCCTGCTGTCAATCCAGCTGTTGCAAGCCCTGCTGCTGTGAGTCTAGCTGTTGCAAGCCCTGCTGCTGTGAGTCTAGCTGTTGTAAGCCCTGCTGCTGTGAGTCCAGCTGTTGTAAGCCCTGCTGCTGTTAGTCCAGCTGCTGAAGCCCTGCTGCTGTATCCCTATGTGCTGCCAATACAAGATCTGAGGCTCTCAACTTGAACCTGTCCTGAACTGGCTTCCTCAGCTGTGGCCTTCAGTTTATCACCAGGTTTCCCATGTTCCCTTAGCACCCCTACTTTCCACAGGACCAAGTCAAAAGTGGTTTCCAGTTCCCAAGAAGAGGCCATCTTCTCATCCACTGTCAACAAATTCTTCTCTGGAGTCACACCACCTATAGTGTCTTCCCCATAGCCAGCCCACTTAGCCATCTGCACTCAGGAGATGATTCCTGCTATGTCTTTTTTTTAACTTAGCAGGAGCCAGCCCTTGGTGTTGCTGCAATAAGGTGAGTATAAAGACTTTCTTGGACTAGTATGCCAAGAAATAACAACCCCTGCTTTATATTAAATCGAATATCACAAACCAATAAAAAACAATCACACGAACCAATCACAACCATGCCTCGTTCATTCTGTCACTTGCTATCACTCCATGGTTTCCACTTTCTCTTGGTGGGACTCCACCAGCCTGCTGGAGGTTCTGGGGGTAGCTAAGGGCTCTCCTGCACCATAGCTCCTTCTACCTGTCTCCTCCCTCTCTTGGACCTTGCTCCATTTGCGCCTTACTAGATTTGGTTGGAGGGACACCTAACTGCTAGGCCAAAAGAGGCTCTGAAGCTGTGACAGCTCCTGGCTGGGTCAGACCCACCCCTCTGACAACTCCCTTTGGAAGGCTTTGACATTCTCAGTGGGCATTTCAGTGCAGATCTCCTGGCACACACACCTACCCTCACCAACCCCTTCTCTCTGGAGCCTTTTCATCCAGCAGGTGGCACTCTTTTCTAACAGGGAGCTGTCTGTAAAGGACTGCAGCAGAGGAAGACTGTGCATCCAGCCTTCCCTCTAAAAGCTCTCACAAGATGCCTGGGCTCTGAGAAGTGAAGACATTAATTCATGAGCAGCCTGTGTCCTAAGTAAAGGAAAGCACAAAAAGTAAAGGCCTGGCCCTGTAGGGCAGCACTGAAACTGGTGATACTCTGAGGACCAGGAACACACAATCAGGTTGATAAAGGAAACTGGGAACTCAGGATGCATGGCTGGTGGGAGTAAAGCTCTAGTTCTTAAATTAGGCACATCTGTATGAAATCAAGATATATTATTCTTTGATTAATGTAATTTATTTTATTTAGTGATATGGACAAGAATCATACACACACACACGCACACACACACACACACACACATCAAGAGAAGGTTCTGTCCTTTTACCTTGGATTCTGGGCTGTCAGGCTTGCACTGTAAGTACTTTTACCCTCAGAACTATCTTGACAGTCTTACTTTTTTCTTTAAAAATATAGTATTCTAAGCTGGGCAGAGTGACTCACATCTCTAATCCTAGCACTCAAGAAACTGAGGCAGAAGGCTTGCCATGTGTCATAGTTAGCTTCAGCTATCAACCTGACACAAACCTAGAGTCACGTGGGAAGAGGGAACCTACACTGAAGAATTGCCCAGAACTGATGGGCCTGTAGGAATGTCCGCGAGGCATTCTCTTGATTAATGATTGATGTGGGAAGGCCTGGGTCACTGTGGGCAATGCTACCCCTGGGTGGGTTGTCCTGAGTTGTGTAGAAAAGCAAGTAGAACAAGCCACGGGGAGCAAGGAGTAAGCAGCCTTCCTCCACAGCCTCTGCTCCAGTTCCTGCCTCCAAGCTCCTACCCTGACTTCCCTTCCTGATAGACTATGAGCTGTGAGGTCAAATAAACTTCTTCCTTCCAAAGTTGCTTTTAGCTATCGAGTTTTGTAGGTGGGGCTTTTCAGGACCTGCTGGTTCCAAAATAAAGGCACAGAGACAATATTAATTAGAAATTATTGGTATATAGCTCAAGCTTATTACTAACTAGCTCTTACAACTTAAATTAACATGTTTATATTAATCTACATTCTGCCATGTAGCATTACCTCTCATCTTACACCTCCTGTTTCTATGTCTCACTGGCAACTCCTCTGACTCCACCCTTCTTCTTCCCTTAGTCTGGTTCTCCCACCTAACCTTACCCTGTCCAGCTATTGGCTAGTCAGCTTCTTTATTAAACCAACCACAATGACCTATATTCACACAGTGTGGAGGAGTGTCCCACAGTGTCTATCACAGCAACAGAAAACAAACTAGGACACACTGTGTGTGTAAGATCCCCAGAGTGCAGGGAAGCCAATCTGAACAGCATAACTGGTCCATCTGAGTTAACTCAGAGACCTCTCATTACAGGAATTGTGGCCTTGGTTTAATGGCTGGGCGTGGAGTGAGAAGGGAGGTATTAGCCTCTTACCTCTGGGATGAAATTTGGAAAACTCGATGCCCGCTCTGTGTTGGCTGCAGTAGTGGCAGTTAGTAAAAGATTGGGATACCTGAACTTAAAGGGTTATCCCAGAAGAAAAGATGTAGAAAATGAATGGAAAATTGGGAAAACTAGAGAATTGAATTTAAGATAAAACGAACCCAATTTACTTTACTTTATTTTAATGTGTGTCTTAGTTAAAGTTTTTATCACTAAAATGAAACACCATGACCAAAGCAACTTGGAAAGGAAGGGGTTTATCTGGCTTACACTTCCATATCACTGTTCATCACTGAAGGAAGTCAGGACAAGAACTCAAACAGGGCAGGAACCGGGAGGCAGGAGCTGATGCAGAGGCTGTGGAGTGGTGCTGCTTTTGGCTTACTCCCCATGTTTTGCTGGGCTTTGTTTCTTCTACAATCCAGGATCACCTGCCCAGGGATGGCACCATCCACAATGGACTGGGCCCTGTCCCATCAATCAAAAGAAGATGCTTTACAGGCTTGCATACAACCCAATCTTATGGAGGCATTCTCTTAATTGAGGTTCCCTCCTCTCAGATGACTTTAGCTTGTGTCAAGTTGACATAAAACCATCCAGCACAGTGTGTGAACATGTGTGGAGGCCATGGAGCAACCTCAGTTCTTACTGTCAGAAACTTTGTCTCTTCCTTTGAGACAGGGTCTGTCACTAGCCTGAGGCTCACTAGACTTGGCTGTCTGGCCAGTGAGTCCCAGGGATTTTGGTGTCTCTGTCTTCCTTGAGCTGAGACTCTATCTGGCATTTCACATTGGTTCTGCGGATGAAATGGGGGTCTTTGTACTTGCAAAGTGCAAAGTGCATGACAAGTGTTTTACCAAAGGAGCTGTCCTGCCATTTTTAAATGTCTGTCTCCATGCTCTACAAGGCTGAGCAACACACACACACACACACACACACACACACACACACACAGCCTACAATAGCTGCTTCTTCCTAGATGATAGGGTGGGGACTGCTAAGGAACCAGTAGTCCAGGAATGAGCACTGCCTAGCTTTGACTAGCAGCTCTTGTGTGTATCGGTCTTGCTGATGGGGAAGGGGTTCTTCCATGGATGAGGAGGAGCCTATAGCCCAGAAAACCTTGAGATATACAGACCACAATCAGACCCACCAACACAACCGTTTGTCAGAGAAAGGCCTGCTGCTACTGTGGATCCGTTGAAAATGGGATGGGCCAAGGACTCTGCATGTATGTGTGTGTGTCCATCTGTGAGTGCACATGTACATGTCTGTTAGGATAACTGCTATTGGTAAGTGGATGAGCTGCTGAGTAGTGCACTGTTCCAGACATAATATGTTAATATTTTCAAGACAGAATGACTTTTTTCCTGACTGGGAGCTTGGTTAATCTGAACTGGAATGATCGGATCCTTGTGGCTAGCTAGTCTGGAGGGGCTCAGCTATGGAACAAGTCTTGGGGGAGAATCCCAGCATGTTTTTGTTTTAATATCAAATACAAATTGTCCTGAAGTGAATGGATGGTGACAGCTCAGGCCTCCCGAATTTGTTATGACTCCCAGTAGCCTCATTTAATGGGCTCCTTCTAGGCTATTCATCTGGAGACATGTTTGACAGGATATGATGAGCATGCACTAACTAAGGCCTTGTCTTAGGGTTTAGTATTGCTGTGAAGAGAGATCACAACAACTCTTATAAAGAAGACATTTAATTGGAGTGACTCGCTTACAGTTTCAGAGGTTCAGTCCATTATAACCATGAAGGGAAGCATGACAATGAGCAGGCAGACATGATGCTGGCTACATCTTGCAGGCAGCAGGAAGTTGCCTGACTGTTACACTAAGTGAAGCTTGAGGAAAAAAGACCTCAAAGCCTGCTCCCACAGTGACACACTTCCTCCAACAAAACCACACCTACTCCAACAAGGCCACACCTTCTAATAGTGCCACTTCCTTTGTGTGGGGGGGGGCATCTTCTTTCAAACCACAACAGGCCTGTGAAGGTCAAATCCAGACAGAAAGCTGAGGTTACAGGGGGAGGAAAAGGCATGCATGGGTGTGCCTGGTCTAGGAGATCAGTCAATGGGGCCACCTATATCTCTGGATAAGCTTTGGAACCAGCTCCTTCCTGACCTGTTCCATCATGGTAATAATGGGTAGTTTCACCCTCTCAGTACTCAGGCCAACCTACTCAGTGTCACCATCTACTTCCAAACAGGGGTAACCCCCATTAATTGAACCTTTGAAATACACTTAGGATTTAATTAACCAATTGCTTAACTGGTAATTTACTTAACAACTACCTTTGCTGCCATACTCAGTCTCAAGTGGCACTTGCTAACTGCCACTTACCACTGTCATGCAAGTTATAAACATCAACTCCCCCAGCAATCAGAAACTTTTCTGGGCTGCCCACTCCTTTCTTACAGATTTAATTGTTCATTTTTGGATAGCCATGGATTCATATATAGCCACAACAAAGCATAAAGAGGACCCATGTTACCTGTCCCAGCTTTCACATGGCACCACCCTGAAAATGTTACAATAGTGTCACCCTCAGAAGACGGGTATTAATACAGTATAGACAGAGTGGATGTGATGAAAATACATTGTATACATGGATAAAGTCCTCGAAAATTAAATGAAAATAAA